CCTTCTGAGAAGCTGCCCATTCTCACAGGAACTGAGATATGTACCACTTATAACTATAATTCTGAAACCATGGAAGTGCCCCAGGTAAAAGTTCCAAGAATGTTTGGAGAAGGGTCACTGGCAAGTCTAGAAACAGCTAGAACCTCATGGAGAATGAAGAGCATTAGCTGAAGCTTCAAGGAGGAAAGGAAGACATGAATAGCATTTGGGAAAGTCAACACCAAGGTGCTTGGCTGTGGTGGTGCGGAAGGCGCTCAGTGGAGAGAGTCCCATCACAGATCATACTTTCATGATTTTTGCTCCTCAGCCCGCTCCCACATTCTCTTCAGGCTTCTTTCTTGTCTCTCCTGTGTCCAGTTTTAGACTCACTCAGCCCTTCCATCAATCAAGTCTGTTGGCCCAGGGTTGGTTACCTCACCAGCCCTCACTTGTCCTGTCCTTGGCTCCCCCTCCTGGACAGCTGGAGAGTCACAGGAGCTGGCTTTAGAATCCCTTTACTTCACTTCCTATTTCTTTCTTTTTCTTTATTTTTTAAACGAAGTATTTTTTTTTCTTACATCATTGTTAATTTTTGGACAGTATCTGATGTGTCCCCTCAGGTGTAGTCCCTGAAATTCCCCAACACCACAGCACCCCAGATCCACAGTTCATCCCTTGAGCTCTTCCCACCCCTGTTTTGACCCCTTTGTCTCCCCTTCCCCTGCTGCCAGGTTTGTCTTTTCTTGACCTTTGTTTGGTTTCTCTATGTTCCACATAGACATGAAACCACTGTTTATCTTTTGCTTCTGACTTACATCACTGAGTATTATCCCTCCCACTTCATCCATGTTGCTGCAAATGGAATGAGTCTATCTTTCTTGGTTGCCAAATAGTATCTCCTTGTGTATATATACCACATCTTCTTGATCCACTCATCTGTTTGGGGGCATTTAGTTTGTTTCCCTACTTTGGCTATCGTAAATAGTGCAGTATTTACAATAGAGCAGGAAACCTATTTTTGAAGATTTCCTTTCTAACTAGTGTTCTTTAGGTAGATTTCTATGTAGGCCTGCATTTGCCAGTCTAAGCCATGCTGACTCTCAAGATCATGGTGATTTTCTTATCACATTCACATTTTCTTTTATCCCATTTCAGCAGATTGAGGCTAATCAACAAGAACTTACCAACATACTCTGCCCTGCTTAAAAATATTTCTTTAGTGTAATTTGTTCTCCATCCATGTTCCAGATCACCTCTCACTTCATATATCACATCACCATGTAACATAATTAGTGCTTCTGATTTGCACTTTGTCTCTCACAGGAGAAAGCACTATCTTTGTCCTGGGCATTCTGTGCTTTAGGTGAATGTGACAACCCCTAGGCTACCTCTAAGAGTATGAGAATGAGTGGCCTTCTCAGGGAAATGGCCCATCTCAGGGAAATGGCCCATGGACACAAGAGGTTACACGGAGAGGCGAGCTCCCTAGGGGTCAGGATCAAACAGTTACCCTTAAACTGTGAGCTTCAGTTTTGGCACCAACAAGGAGCAGGAACAAATGACAGAGTAAGTGCAAAAACAAAAAGGTGCTTTGCTCTCTTGAAAAGATGTATACAAAGAGTGAAGTCCCCTGAATTGTGAAACAAAGATTGATATGTAATCCTAATTTTGGCAAAGCAATGTTTTCAAGTTTTTTTTTTCTTTTTTACAACAAAATTTTAGGAAAGGACAAATTGTAACTTTTGAGAAAGAAAGATGTTTCAAAATATTTGGTACCAATCGAATAAAACACTGAATCATTTAATAGGTGACATTTTTGGTTTCAAAAACCATGGCATGAGATCCCTCTTACGGTTAATATTGCTCTTAAATGACAAGCTGGCACAGCCTCTATTGTTTACTATGAAAACGTGGAGTCCTTGGGCTGAGATGAATGCATATTCCCTTATGGGATTCGTTCTGCTTGCTTAGTAAACCACCACCCTTTGCTCTTCTCTGATAGCCCTGCTGTTTCTGTATGGCTGGCACTGGTAAAATACACAATGCTCACAAAGATGGGAACATTCTAATGAAATGAAGAGCTAGGGATGTTTCCCTGGTTCAATCATTTTCATTTTGTCTTAGTGCTCTTCCGTAACTCCTCAGCAAGTTTTAAGTTGAACAGACCATAAGGATTTCAATCAGCTTGTAATTAGATGTACAAGGTTTCCATAAATTAACCAAAAAAAGAAATCTCCTTAACTCTCCTGAAAGATCCCACAACCTGCCATGCACTGCTTCTGTTCTAATTCAACCCTTGAAGTCAAAGCGCATGGCTACCTTTTATTCCTGAAGCAGAGATGCTTAATTTTATATATCAATTTGGTGGGACATGGTTAAATTACCCATATTATTGTGTAAAAAAAAAAAACCTCTGTGAAGGTATTTTTTATATCAACAGTTAAATGAATAGACTTTAATCCTTTCTAATGCAGGCGGCCTCACTCAATCAGCTGTCCTAAGAGAAAAAAATGGGAGTTGCCCGAGGAAGACTGAGTCCTCCTCTAGACCCCAAGCTCCAACATCAATTCTCTTCTGAGTCTCCATCCTGCCTACCCTGAAAATTACCAGTTTCCACAACTGAAAAAGCTGATTCTTTAAAATAACTTCTCTCTCCTAGCCTCACTGGTGTGTAAATGATTCCTTTATATATATATTTTGTTTATGGGTAGGAAGTACATTATTTTTCTGAGTACACACACAGTCTACTGGCTCAAGAGAGCATGGTCTAATACAGATGTGTACTCTTTTGTTCACTGCAGAGAGAGAGAGAGAGAGAGAGAGAGAGAGAGAGAAAACAACTCCAGCACAAAGAAATTATCTAAATTTGGAATTATAAAATATACTTCCAAGGCTAGGTTGGTTACGTTTTCCCTGAAAACTTCTGTTTACCCTGCTGTCTGGCTAAGCTTCAGTTTAGGTAGGGTGCTCCAATCTGAAGGTCACATTCTCTCTGTCTTTTACATCCAATAGGTCCAACCAAGTTCCTTTTCTTGATAGTTAGTAATAACAGAAAAACTGTTTTATATCTTACATATATTTTTTCATAGAACTATCTAAAAGTAAACCTTGAAAAGGGATAAGAACACAAGTGTATTACTGCTTGCACAAATGCATTTAAATAATTATTTTCCTATCCTCTCTCAAAGTGTCCAACACAAATTTTCCTGGAGCAACTCCAGATCTCCTGGGAGTCAAATGAAATTCAAAAATTCCATCTTTATTGTTGGAAACAAACAAACAGTGGGATTAGGCCTGATCTACAAGCCCCTCTGGAGCACTTCATAGAATAGCCAGCCACAAGACAACTAGCCCTCCTCCACCTGCCGCTTTCCTCCTTGTGCTCAGGTCCAGGGTTGATCCCTCTCAGGTTTCAGTTTTTCCTGGCTTGCCTGTCTCCCCACTTATCTTTACATTCTCACAGCACTTAGTCCAGTGCCTGGCACACAATGCCCATCAAACATGTGAAGGCGAATGCCGCTGAGCAATACAGTGGTATTTTAACCTTGAAAGTTATCCATGTGGACATTTACTTTTTAGGAGGTATCAGTAGCTAAAGAGACAACTTAATCCCTGAACAGGAGAGCACCACTTCTTCCATTGTCACTATTCATTTATCACTCAGTTTAAGACGTTCAGCTGCTCTGAGTCAACTCGAACAATGGTGCCAAGAATGTGGGTGTTGTAACCTCTGGCAACGCTCTGAACATGTCTGTGTGTGGTGTGATTTCAGGGTTCAATGCTCAGTGGGCCAGTACATCTGTTTACCACAGTTTGGGGTAAGCTCAGCCTGTGTTTCCCTAGGTGGCCCTGGGCTGTTTGCTTTCTGTTGGTTTGCTTTCTGATGGTCAAAGTACTAGCAGATGGTGAAACTAGGTGAGGAAACATGCCCAGTGCAGATCTATTAGTGTTTGATAGAATGAGAGTTGTCTACTGACTAGGTCTTAGTACATTCTGGACTCTTATAATTAAATCTCAGACAAAGTTCTCAGGCACGATTTCAAGACTCACATCTGAAGAATGGACTTATATAAAGAACAGGTATAGAGTCTTCATTGACTGAATATTTTCACCCAATGGGATAAAGAAAACTTTGACTGAAGAATATTCATATCTAATTTAAATTTCATAGGCTAACAGGATCTTGTTTCATTTTGTGGGAAGACCATGGGTGTCTTTTAGCAACAAATGTTTGCCAGAGACAAGTGGATTGTTTATGAGTTCGCGAGAGCAATCTTAGGTATAATATTAATGGTTGTAAGTGGTGAAAAGTAGACTATGTAATTTAATGAGTTAGGAGGAATAACCTCCTAACTCAGTTTTGATCCTTAGTTTTGATCCTGAGTCCTCGGTACACAGTAGACAGAATGAGAGGAGGCATTTACATTTATATTTTTATGGCTCCGATATCCAGATACAGTCATAGAACTGTTATGTAAGGGCTGAGGACAAAGGGCAACCCAGAGGTGCTATAATTAGGAAAACCAAGTGCTGCATATATTAGACAAAATCTATAAATCAGCTACTTTATGTAAGACCAAAGAACCAGAGGAAATCATCTAAAAACTACAGCAAAATATGAGAATGTCTCACCAGAAAGATTTATCCAGTCTAAGGAACAAAAACAAAAAGAAATGAATAAAAACAAACAGAGGCTCCGTGGCCTGCGGAATAGACTCAAGAATACCAATATTCACATAATGGGACTTACAGAGGGCAGGAGAGAGAGAAAGGGGTAGAAAGAAGAAAGAAAAAACAGTCATATTTTACTTAAAACAAAAATACTCTTTTAGACTATAAGGCCAATCAGTGGTTAGCAGAAGGGAAAGGAGAAACAGGATAAAAATCATGGTGAAGAACAAAACTGAACTTTTAATAGTGAACTTAATGTACTATATACAGATGTTGACTTAAAATATGGATTCCTGAAGCTTATAAGGTGTTTAATGCTATGTTACTTCAATAAGATATTAAAAAACTCAATGAACAAACATGTCACAATCAAGCCATCAAAAGACAAAGAAAAAAACTCCAGAAACCAAAAAGCAACAACAGAGAGGGAATTCATCCCAGACAAGGAATTCTCAGTGAAGTTAAGAGTTGATTTGTCATCAGAAACCATGAAGGCTAAAAGGCAGGGGGATGACATAGTGGAGAAAGGTACTCAAGGGAAACATGCCAACCAGTAATCTGTTTCTGGCAAAATTACCCTTCAAAAATGGAGAAGTGATGATATTCTCAGAAAATAAAAAATGGAGTTTGTTGCTACATATTTGTTCTACATGAAATGATAAAACTTTTTTTGAAAAGAATTAAAGAGGACATAAATAAATAGAAAGATAACAATAGGACTGGAAGAGCTGATATAGGTAAGATGACAATAGCCACCAAATTGACCTACAAATGTTACCTAATCTAACAGTCACCTTTTAGTTTGTTTTCCTGAAACTGAGCTGATCCTAGTACTCATGTAGAATTGCAAGGGACCCAGGGGGGGAAAAATGTTGGAGATACATTTCTTTTTACAAAATGTTAGTATCTGTATAGGAATCAAGTCTTTGCAGGAGGCAGGAGTGGCATAGGATGATATGTAGATCAACGAGACAGGAGTGAGAGTCAAATTCTAGAAATAGTGTCAAGAAAATGAAATGTGGGAAATAACAGTCTTTAGCAAATGATATTGAAGAGCTGAGTATCTATATAAAGAAATGAATTTAAACTCTATTCACATGATAAAAAATTAACTCAAGACAAATCAAAGAACAAATACAACAGAAAAAGTTATAACACACTAGCAATAAACACAGGCAGATCTTGGATTAAATAAAATTTTTTTGATGACATTTAAAGCACAAGCATAGGGTAAAAATAACATAATAAGCCTTATTTAAAAACCCTCTATACTTTAGAAGACACTATCAATAAAGTAAAAAGACAACTATATAATGATACAGAAAATTATAAATCATTTATCTGACAAAGATCTGTAACCAGTTTATGTAAAGAATCACAACAAAATAGTAAATAAATTATTATAAATAATTATAATCTGGACAAAAGTTTAAAGAGACAGTTCCCAAATAAGACAACAAATGTGCAATAAGTAAATAAAAAAAGATATGCAATCTCATTACTTATGAGAAAATTCAAATCAAAACCACAATGAGATACCACTTTAGCACCACTTGGGTAGTTACAATTAAAAGAAAGATAATAACAAGTTTTGGTGAGGATGTAGAGAAACAAACTCTCATATATTGCTGGCTGAATATAAACTGGTGCAGCTACTTTGGAAAAAAACTGTTTAACAATTCCTCAAAGGTCAACTTTCAAATTATGATATGGACCAGCAATTCTACTTGCTGGGATATACCCAAAAGAACTGAAAACACAAACCCACACAAAAATATGTAGGCAAATGTTCATAGGAAATTATTCTTTTTAAAAAAGATTGATTGATTGACTGATTTATACATACAGGACTGGGGCAGGGGCCAGAAATGCAGGGGCTATGAGAGGCTTCACCAGAGACAGAGTGGGGCACAGAACAGGCAGACTGACTAAGTACACTGCTCAGGGAAGCAGCGGGCAGGACAGGAGAGGTCTGCTGAGCCCGCCATGTGGGTCACCTCCGGGCCTGAGGATTGAACTTGCACTGAGGTGTCTGTGGCTAGCTTGCAGTGCTGCTCCCTAATCCACTGCACCACCAAGGAAGGCCCAGGAAATTATTCATAATAGCACAAAGTGGAGACAGTATAAATGTCCATTACTAATGGGTGAATAAAAAATGGGGTATTTATTCAATGGGGCAATGAATGGGATATCTATCCACTCATAAAAGGAATAAAGTACTGTAACATGCTACAACATAATGAACAGTGAAAATATTCCACTAAGGGAAAAGAGTCACCACAAAAAGGCTGCATGTTGTATAATTTCATTTACATGAAATGACTGGAACAGGCAGATCACAGAAAAGTGATTAGTAGTTGTGAGCAGTTGGAGCTAGCAGGAAGTGGGGAGTGACTGCTAAAGTATGGTTTTTCAATGGGGGTGATAAAAGTGCTCTGTAATAGTGGCAATGACTGTATGATTTGGGGAACATACTAAAAATCACAGAGCCATATGCCTTAAAAGAGTAGACTTTATGTAAGATGAGTTAAATGTCAAAAACATTTAATATATTAGCAGATATTTGAAAAAACATATGTACTCTATATAATGGCTAATTTTCTTCCTCTTGTCTCCTTCCCCAATCTAAAGGAACAATGACACCCAGTGTCACCATGTTGATTCTGCAGCTTCTTGTGTTACTGGCCCACATCTAAGTACTCCCAGCTGAAAAACATGGACCTGGGGACCCGGAAAGTGAACAAAAGAGCCAGAATCATGACCCCATTTGATGTCAACCAAGGGAGAAACAACTTTATCATGAGAAAGGAAAGGGATTTCAACCAAGCTACACAAGTGGTTGGAAAAGCCCTCAATATTCATTGTCTCTTTTTGCTCTCATTCCATATCCATCAAACCACTTTCACAAGAGTTCTAACACTAGAAAGGGAGCACATCTTCCAGGAGAGAGGAATTACATCTATTGAAAATTTCAACCATCTCCCCTTTCCCCACAACCCGTCCTTTCATCCCCTTCATTTTTTTTGCTTCCAGTAACTTGATAAATTTTAATCACTCTCTATGCCTCTGGAACATGGAAAAACAAAGGTCAGATTTTGGATTAAGGTAGATTCATCTCAATCATGGATGACAAACAGACTTTAATCTATATGCTAACTTCAATACATTAATATTAAGGAATGATTCTGTAATGAACAAGATCATGAGGATGCCTCCAAGTAAAGTTTGACAGAATATCATGCTTGGTTATTGGTGCGGTGCCTGCACTGAACACAGACAGGAAGAAATCATGTATGTACTACATAATGGCCACCTGACTCAGGTAATACTTTGTCAGAGGCCTCTAGCCAGAAACACCCTGGTCTTATCCCTCCACCCTTGAAGTACTACATTTAAAACAAACACAGGTTTGTTTAATGTAGGTTATGCCTGCATTTCATAAAATGAGTTTTTCACCCTTAGTCATTTATAACTCAATTAAAGGAAATTGAACCTATACTCCATCATAGGGTTCACAATCTGCCCCACCCATTTTTCCATCAGTGAAAAAACAAAATGGTTTATTAGGAAATGCTTCTTTTGGTTCTTATCTTCTAGGATGTCAACTACCCTACACATCAGAAAAGTTAGAAATAATTCTCCATATTAAAAATTATGTCTGTAATAAAATTCTATTCCTTGCTTACTTTGCCTCTCAAAGCATTGGTAACTAATGTCTCATACTTATCACTATTTCCATTCCCTGTGAGCATAGAGGATCTCTCTGTATGTGTGTAAGAGAGAGAGAGAGAGAAAGATAAAGTAGGGACAAAAGGGGTTGGGGCAAGAAAAATGGATGATGTAAATGATCTAGCATTTTCAAATCAGAGATGATAGGACTTATCATTAATCTAAGGTTTCCACTGGCCAAAGTGTATGCAATACCTTCTTCACACTAATCATGATGAGGTAGCTTTTAGTAGAACAGTTCTGGACATATTTCAGGTTTCTGAATATACTTGGTTAATAAAGCAGTGTCTTAAGATAAATTGCTGTTTCTGGGTAGGTTCATTCCAGGGATACAGAATGAGAGAGGGAGAGAGCCAGGATATACAATCAGGTCACCCAGGCCAACAGTCTTTCAGTACATCATCCCAACCCTGCCACAAAGGGCTCTAAACTTGAGATCAAATTAAAAATCAAAGGTACTAAAAAAATGATCGTCATGCCCTCACCCAATACTCCTACAACAAATAAAACCACAATGGGCTTATGTAAATTTTACACAAATAGAAGATCTCAGACTAACCTGACACTTTAACTCTTCTGTTGTTTGTTGGTCTATTAAAATTCCTAGTCTTTGCTTGTATTTAACTTTCAGTGCTATGCTGAGTTGAAGATGACACAGATCTACTACAACACTGACTGTTAGATTAGATAAGAATAGAGAAACACATACACCTAAAATGCTAGTGAGGATTTGTTTTATACTTTTTTGAAATTTTAGGAATATACGACTAATACAATCAGAATAATAAATACAGCTATTTCTCTGAACACCAAAAAAGAAAAGAAAGGATATATTTAGCTTGAAGAAAAGAAAATCAAGAGCTCTTTGATTAATGGTTTATGAGACAGAAGATAACAGAAGAGGCAACTAGCAAGGAGAGATGCTTGCCTACCAATATCAACATAAGCATCTCTAATATCTTTTTTCAACAACAGAGGAAGGGTCTTGGGATCAAAACATGGATTTCCGAGACCTTTTGTAGTATATATCCCACAAACATGTTGTATAAGCCACCAGAATTGTCACAGAACAATAATACAGTCATCTTTTTATACTGTCTTCTCAGAGCTTCGCTTAGCCTACTCTAGTCAGAGGACATTGGAAACAGTCTGAAGTACAAATCCAATTCCACTTGCCAGCAACCTGAAAGTAGGTATCAGCCCTTGAGTAAAAACACACACTCTGATTCCTTCATGTGTTTGAATTCATTCCCTCTGTGAACAATCCCAAGCCATCTGTCAGATGCTGACCTGGGTTAAAGGTTCTGCATGGGGTCCTAGGACAAGAGAGAACTGACCCTCTTTCACGGCACTGGTCTCATCAGCCCAATGCCTCACCAAATGAAAAAAAACAAAAAAACAAACAGTCAAACAAAACAAGCAATTGCTCTGGTTTTAACTGGAGAAACACTGAAATGACTGACTTTCAGGAAGGGTAGCTCCATGCTGTGCTTATAGATAGGAGCACTAATATTACCAGAAGTCTCCAGGGATCCCCTAGCCCTTTTCAGTGCAATTCAAGCTAAGTACTTGGAATTTTTTGATCTCTATTAAAGAAGAAGGCAAAATGGTTATTTCCACATGATGGGAATATGATGTGGTTCAAATGAATTCTACAAACATTTACTAAGGCTTTGTATTAGGGTTGACAGCAAAGACTTTCTCATGGTCCTTGTATTGAGCCTGATTTTTAAAAAAAAAATCCTAAATTCTTTATACCTAGGACATTTGTTTATACTTATGACACATAAGTGGCAGTA